TGTGTGTGTGTGTGTGTGTGTGTGTGTGTGTGTGTGTGTGTGTGTGTTCACGCATACATATACTCAGCACATACAGATATTCCTGAGGAGGCTAGAATAGGGTGTCAGGTCCCCATGAGCTGTAAGAGGCCGTAAGCCTCCCTACATGGGTGCTGGGAACTGTGCACAGGTTCTCTGAAGACAAGTGCCTCCAACTGCGGAGCCGTTCTCCACCACCACCCTCCCCGGCACTTTTCCTAACTTTTAAGAGACAAGCTGGGAAACTCACAATTGTACTGCCCGAATGCAGGTGCTCTCCCTTTGACTCTACCTCATGTGGTTGAACAACACTTGGCTTTTTCTAGGAGCAGCAGAACTTAGGTGCTCATCAGCAGACAAGTCTGAGAACAGTGTGAAAAACTTAGCACACAGCTATCTTCCCTCAAGAACAAGAACGTGTGAGGGCAGCATCTCTGACTTCACTGCAGGACAGCTGACAGCTGGAGAACACACGGGGAAGCTGAGTTAGAGTGCACACCCTGGCACCCACATCCACATGCTGGCCCATGGGTACTGACTAGGCAGGAGATGCATGCCAGGACCGCACACAACACAGGTGAGGTCACAGGACAGAGCACACAAAAACCAACACTAAGGGTGGAGCTGTGAGAACACACGGCCCCACTCCCCAGTACCTAGAGTAGCCTGGCCCCTCTGTCCTCACATGCCCTCAAACTGGACTAGGGGTCTGGCTGCAACTTCGGCTGTTCCCTTTTGTGTTCATTAGCTTAAGTGTTAGTGCAGGGAAAGCAGGCAGGTTCACCCCATGAGGAAGCAACTGGAAAAGACAACACTGATCACTCACCTCGTAGCTTCAGGAAAACACATGACTACAGCACAGAGGCCCAGCCCTTTCCCTCAGTGCTTCTCGTGCCACACATTGTGATCCTGAAGAAGCTTTACAAACTATGCTAGCGAGCCAGGAAGTGCTACTCAGAAGGACGGAATGGAGTCTACTGTTTCCACTCTCCCTTCCCTGAGGATCTAATTTTGTTGTCTCCTCTTCTAGATTTCCTTTGTTTTGGGTATGTTGGCGTTTGTTGAAAGGGAGGTTGGTGTGAAGTTCCAAGATTGAAATTACAGTGTGTTAACAGTGTGTGTGGGAAATTAGTCTTATTTTTGCCTACAAGGGATACAAAACTGTGAAATTCAATCTTCAACAGAAAGACACTGATGTTCTTTAGTTCTTTCTTTACCAAATTTAACCTAACCCTAACAAATCAAAAGAAAAATGGCTTGCCTTTCTACCCCAGCTTTGTTTTATGCTGGTTTTATGTTGTTTATCTTTTGATGTATAAAACTGACTGTATTATAAGTGTATAAAGACTTCAACTGTAAATAAACAATTTTGGCTGTTAAAAATAAAGCAAACAACAACAACAACACAAGTGAAGAGGCCAGTAAAGTGCTTTAGGCATCTGACAGTGGACTGAAAAGGTGGCTCAGGGGTCGAGGCCTTCTGTAGGGGCAGCTCTAATGATTCTGATTTCATCCCTAGACTCCGCAAGGCCGCTGGAAAAGTGACTCCTGTGAATTGTCCTGAATGGCACGCACACCGTGCACACACACACATAGACACCGGCATATATGTCCCTTCATATGACACAAGCAAAATGGAAGGAAGGAAGGAAGGAAGGAAGGAAGGAAGGAAGGAAGGAAGGAAGGAAGGAAGGAAGGAAGGAAGGAAGGAAGGAAGGAAGGAGCAAGCTGACAGGAACTGGAGGCTCTGCCCTCCAGAAGGGACCCACACACAGTAGTCGTCCCCGCTGCCCCATGGGCCCAGCATTCACCACTGTCGACCCTGCGTCTTCGCTGCAGTCTCCAAGTACATCGGGAGCCACGCGTTACAAAGTGCCGTCTCAGGGCCCCGAGGCAAGCCTCTGTAGGGTCAAATGTGTCGCTGCAGTTTTCACCGTGAGAGCTGAGAGCACATGCACTCTGGCAACTGACCTAACTGATCATTTCTTACCTTGTCGAAGCCGGTTTCTGTGTGAAGGACAAAACAGGCTTAGAACAGGAGGGGAGGAGAGAAGCTGGAAAAGGTGGGTGTGCCTGCCACTGGCCTCTGCGGCCACCACGAGGAGAAACTCCGCTAACAATGGCCAAGGCACTAGAGGGAAGTTTTAAAAATGCTTTTAAAATTAAAGGGCCATGTGTAGTCTGCCCACACACACAAACTGCTTTTGAGACAGGCAAACATGTGAGGCGGTGTCCCACAAACAGCCACTGTGCAGGAGAGAGGAAGCACACAACGGCTTTTGAAAATGATTACATTTATTCAAAGGGAACTGCACTACAGAAACCAGGAATGTAGGAGTGAGCAGAAGTGAGAGGTTCGAGATGAACAGCCTTTGCTCTGTCTGGACCTGTGCAGGATCTGCGGGGGCACCGAGGTCTTGTCCACAGCAGCCCCTTCCAAGGCAAGTTAGCATCCCCACGCCTCACACAGCACACAGGCCAGCCTCACCTACCACACACTCTCCTGCAGAGCATTGTGAAAACACGAGGCGGCAGCTTCACTTACATGGTTAATGAAGAGACTCTTGCGTTTTTCTCTCACTGTGGAAACAAAACATGGGACAAAAATGTTACATGTTTGCACACACCCCTGCAGGTGGCCTCTTTGCTATGGTCCTGTCCTTCTACCAACTAAGATTCCCAGTTATCCAATTACAAATCTGAAGTGTAAAGCAGCTGCACAAACACAGACTTAAACTTGACTTACAGAGACACTTTCACAATGCCATAGTAAGTATATCTGAGGTCAACTGAAGAAGTAAATGCTCCCAACAGGTAAGGTAATTAAGAGAACTGTTTACTTGTAACACAAACGGACACTTAGAGGCCCACATTACATGAATAGATTATTAGGGCCACGAGGACATCCCTAACAGCACACCAAGTGAGCGGGACAGAAGTGCTCTGCAGTGGAGGACACTGCTTCCTCTGCAGGGCTGGGAAGAGGCCTGGGCTTCCACTGACAGGGCTCCAGGGAGCCCTTGCAGCCTCCACCCTCAGGGAGGCAGGTGAGCCTCCCCACACCAAACCATGTCTTGTCCAGCCTCACTGCCTAAGTACTCTGCATGGCTTTAGCTTCAGTTTTTGTCACAACAGGTACCCTTCAGCCTCAAAAGCCAAAAAGGTGTCCGAGAACACAGAGAGATCTGTAATAAACTGCTGTCACTAAATTGTGTGTTGTCCTTTCTACACCAGCTCTTACGGGCGTACACTAGTCCATCAATGCACCAGCGGTTCCTGTAGAAGAGACGAAGGACAGGTTTCTGCAACGAGTAGGCCCTACCTCAACGAAGGGCAAATTCACCTCGTCATCCGAGCAAGCAGTCTGTACCCACAAAGCCCTCTAACTAATAAGCTGAACGGCACTGGAGTTTTCTATATTTAACAGTTCGACATTCATAAGAAAACACTTGCTTTTCCCCTAAAAATCTATTCTAGGTGCCTCGAATGTAGCTGAAATAGAGATCTGGACCAGCAAGCAAAGGGAGCTCATTCTTAAAACACTTGTAAATAAAAACTGTAAAGAAAGAAACTGAAGACAAAGACAGAAATAACTTCCATGTGCATGGATTGGTAGGGTTCAATATTATGAAAATGGCCATCCTACTAAAAGCAATTTACATATCCAATACATTCCCCATCAAAATTCCAATACAGGGGTCAGGCATAGTGGCACATGCCTTTAATCATAGCCCTCCAGAGTCAAAAGCAGAGAGATCTCTTGGGCCAGCCAGAGCTATACTGTGAAACTTTGCCTCAGAACAAACAAACAAACAAACAAACCTACCCAATGCAATTATTCACAGAAATTTAAACAGCAACCTTAAAATTAATATTTTAATTAATTTTAAAAGACTTAAAATAGCCAAAAGAATCCTGAACAATGAAAACACTGCTATAGCTATCACCACCCCAGATTTCAAGTTATAGTAACAAAAGTTACAGTAATAAAGTCATAGTAATAAAACCAGCATGGTAGTGGAATAAAACATAAAAACATACGTAATGATCCAGAGAACAGAACTGGAGACACACATATAAGCCCATATTCACACGGCCACCTGATTTTTGATAACCAGGCTGAAACCACACACTGGAGAAAAGACAGCGTCCTCAATAAACAGTGCTGGTCAAACTGCTCAGCTACTGGAGAATGACCTAGATCTCCATCTCACTCCCTGCATAGAACTCAACTTCAAATAGATTAGGGACCTGGACACAACCTGACAGCTTAAATCTGTGAGAGAAGCAGGTAGGGAATATGCTTGCATCTTACAGGACTAGGAAAAACCATTCTAAATAGTACTCTGGTAATACCAGATTCAAGACCAGCAACTGATAATGAATCCTCATAAAACCAAAAAGCTTTTGAGCAACAAAGTAAACTCTAACTCAGTAGAAGACACAATCTACAGGATAGGAAAGACACCAGCCATACATCTGACAGAGGGTTAATTTCTACAACATACAAAGAACTTAAAAAAAAAAAAAAAAAAGTCTATAAAACAATCCAATTAAAAAGTGGGACAGGGAACTATTCAGAATTCTCAAAAGATGAAATACAGAAGGTTAAGAAATTTTTTCTAATGTTCAATATCCTTAGACACCAACGAAATGCAAATTAAAATTTATTTGAAGTTTCACCTTACCCTGGTCAGAATGGCTCAGAGCAAAAGAATAAACGACAACAGGAGTTGGTCGGATATGAGAAAAGGGATCCACGAAAACTAGTGCAGCCACCATGGAAATTAGTGTGGAGGTTCCTCAAAGAACTAAAGACAGATCGTCACATGAGCCACCTATATCCTTTCTCTCTCTCTAATGGACTATATCCTTCTGCACAGATACCCAATCATCAACCCTCACTGAAGCTCTAGTCACAATAGCCAAAAATGGAAACAATCTACTGTCCATCACCCAAAGAAATGTATTTTCACACTGAGTATCGTTCAGCTATTAAGAAAAAAAAAATGACAAAATTTTCAGGTAAATAGATCTGGAATTATTCTGACAGAAGTAACCCAGACCCAGGAAGATGAACACTGCATATTCTCTCTAATGTATAGATTCTAGCTATCAATTTCAACGTCTGTATGTTTGGTAAGTCAGAGTGCCCAGAGAGGTCAGGAACATAACCGAGGGTCATGGGGGTGGAGGATGCTTCAAGAGAGGGGAGTCAGAACATGGTGATATGCAGAGGAAAAAGAGAATAGTGGAGCAAGAAAGATTAAATGGGGTAGGAACAGAAAGCAGCGTAGAGGAGGCAATATGGGAAGGGGTAACCAACATTACAGGCCTCTTGAAGAAGGTGCATGGAAACCTACTACAGGAGAAGCTTTCTGAAATAAATACACATAAAAGAGCTTAAATGCAGTCATTGAGTAATAAGGGATGGGGAGATGATGCCTCAACAACACAGATGGCTAGGTTCCTCATACCAGCAAATAAAAACCCACTATCAGGAATGTGTTAGCTCTTTTAGAGTTGTTTGCCAATGGGGTCCTGTAGACCCCTAAACATTACAGACTATTGTCGATGTTCTTGGTTATCATCCCCAGATCTCGATAGTAACACCCTCTTGTCCCCAGAAACAGAGGGACAGTCCTAGCCACAATGTCACAGAATGGCTTTCTGGAAAAATCCAGCATGGCTATGTTATTCCTTGGTATTTGTTAAAACAAACACTCAGGGCCTACAAGATGGAAAAGGTGCTTGCCCCCAAGCATGATGACCTGAATTCCAAGCCTGATACTGACATAGCATATGGAAGAAACCCACTGTTGCCCTGCCACCTCCACGTGCACGCTAAGGTATACACGGGCTCCTGTATACCTGCCCTAAGCCCTCCTGTAATAACACGATTTCAGCTAACTTCTTTTACCAGCAGTCATGAAAAACATCGTTTCTTCTTTCCACTTATTTTGAGAGAATTTTTCAAGGCAAGTGCTAGGCACCATCCAACCACAGGATACTGTGCCTAGCAGGCTCTCAGAAATCTTCTTTGGAAATCTAAAAGCAGCCCAGACAGAGCAATGTGAGGTGACTGGTGGGAAAGGTGAGGCCCCAGCTTGAGATGGGATGGTTTACAGGAGCAGCACCAGCAATGGTTACTATAAAGCCTGGGGAAAACTGAGTTCCACTGCAGCAGAACCATGGCTAGGCTGTGGATGAACAGAGCTCAGCTAGTCTACGAACAACTACACCTGACATATTGGTTACTCCGTGAGAGGGACTGGTGGCCAGGCCACTGAGCGGGAGCCTTTGACTTTCTGCACAGAACGCAGCATAATGTTGAAAGAAGCAGAACTGAATGGGGAGATAACACAGCTAATGCAGATTATAAAAGGAGGGCAGAGGCAGGTAGACCTCTGTGGGGCTCAAAACCAGCTCTACAGAGGCAGGACGGCAAATGCGCACACGCACATACACAACTGGCCGGCCCCTTGGAGGGCAGCAAACCTCCTCCTTGCCAAGGCGCACCCTGACCAGAGGTCAAGAACACAATGGTCAGGACACAGTGTGCACTGGAGAAGGATGTCAGCCCCACCACCAGCCCTGGGTGAGGCATCCGGGTGAGCTCATGTCCTCAGAACTGCAGGAAGGGAGCAGGTCTGGAAGGAGACCTTCCTCTATTTCTAAGCCCAGACCTGAGGACTGGGACACTGTGTGCATGCAAGAGGAAATTAAACGGCAAGAGAAGACCACAGGGCAAGCAGGACAATTTCACAGATGTGCACAGTCAGTCAGAGAAGGAAACTGCAAGACAGAGACTATGCGGCAGCACCGTACAGCAGGAAGCGACTAATCTACTTGTCTCCACAGAGAACAGTTAGGGCCAGACGCTTTCTTCAGAAACAGGCATGTCAACGAGCTATAACCAGAGATTAATTCTTACTATAAAAGACATATTTATGTTGAAAATTTGGAAAAGGTAAAGCACTATGAGTAAAAACGTTAAAAATGGTACAAATAAAGATTAATGCTTGTGAAATACACACAAACAATCATACCATGGCAATCCCAACATAATACTTTGGTGTGTATTTTTAAGTCTCTTTCTTGTGTGCATTTATAGACATGCATACATTTAAAAATGGGTGTTTTCTCCATGAATGCTAATATACATGTACTTACATATAAACATACCAATAGAAACAGGTCTTCTTTTGTACTGGTACCTGCATTTCCACTGACTGTATTTTTATTTTTTTAACTATAAACATACTTTGCCATATGTATTATGTTTTTCCTAGTTGATTCCACTTTTTGACAATTTTCGCCACTATTTTTTCAAACAGGGTTTTATCCTGCAGACTAGGCTGAGCTGACTCAATTCTCCTGCCACAGCTCGAGTTGAGGGCATTTTTCGCCGTGTCCATCCTCTCCTGCTTTCATAAGCACATGTTCCTGTGTTTCCCTAGAACATTCTGAACTTGGAGGGGACGCACTATTATGATGCCTCAAGGAGCGTCAGGGTTTTTCCTAAGTACGTCGCTGCACAGCACTGCCAGTATTCTCCACACCTAACCTATTCCTGCTTTGCTTCTAAGATGTTCAGAAGTAACTCTTACCTGGATGGTTCAAGACCACTTTATCTGCAGCAGGAAAAGCTGGTACAAAGATAGGCATGAGCCGAGGAGCAAAGAACCGCCTTCTCCTCTCGGCAGGAGCCCACCCTCTCTCCTCGCAGACTCTGTATTCTAGGGTAAGGTGCCATGCTAATATGACCCTGATGCCAGGCCCAGCTGGGAGCATGGCACGCCCTAGCCAAAGGCAGGAGCTCAGTGTAAAAGGGGCACAGGGCTCTGGTGACTTATGCTGTGGTGATCTGGGGTACCACGCCTGATGCCCAGTAGACTATCTATTCTTCCTCTCTTTCCTACAGTCTCAGAGAGAGTTACCAACTTCACTTGAAAGATGAGGCACATCCTCAGGGCCTGGAGAGAGAGTTCATTAGTTAAGAGCTATCACTGTTCTCCCACAGGACCCCAGTCACATTTTCAGCATGTACCTGAGGCAGTATACAACTTCCTACAGCCAAGGGGACGCAATGCCTTTGTCCCCAAGAACAGCTGCCATGCACTCACACACAGACACCTGCACTCATGCACTCACGTGTGTGTGGAAAAACAAAACAAAGCAAAACCAACAACCACATTCAGCAAGAGCTTATGACCAGGTGGTGATGGATTTCAGCTTCCAATCACTGTGGATTCATGAAATCCTTCAAAGATTTCTGGCTGTTCTCTGCTTGTTTTCGAGGCACGGTCTCACTATGTAGTCCTGGCTGGCCTGGAACTCAAACTATGTAGACCAGGCTGGCCACAGACGCACCTGCCTCTGCCTCACAAGTGCTGTGAATAAAAGCCTGCATTATTACGCATGGCGTCTAGCTGCTTACAAGATGGCTGTCACATTATCATTGACTTCAGCAGCCTGTTAGGTATCATGGGACCGGTGATCAGGCTATGAAAGGCTACTAGGCTAGGAACAACTGAGAGAGCTTTTCAGCATTAATAGACGGGGAGCTGAAGGTGCTCAGAGATAAAAAAAATAAGTAGGTATTCTTTCTGACGAACAGAGCACAGCACAGGGCTGTCCAGCAGAAGGAGGCCACAATGACATGGGCAGGGAACGCCACCCTGTTGGCAAACCACCTTCAGTCCTCTCGGTTCTGTGTCTGTGCTTCCTAACCACTGTATCTGAGGACATCAGGCCCCGGGAAAATCAGAGTACGAAATCTCATTTTGGTTCCAAATGACTGCACCTGAATTTGGAAGAGCCATGTCCTCAAACCAAGGCAGTATGCAAGAGAAGAACAAACCACAGCACCCAAGAAAGTATCCCCCACAGACCTGGCCTGGTTAAAAGACTTCACCCCTACCCCCCAAACCTCCATTCCCAAAAACACTCCTTACCTCCTACAGCCCTAGGAACAACTGCGGAGAAAGAGCTGGCCCAAGGGAAGGTGGGAAGAGAACTGCAAACTTACTACCTATGTCCTCCTGCCTCCACTTGACCCTTCCATATGGCTCCTCATGCTGCGGTGACCCCAACCATAAAGTTATCTTCCCTGCTACTTCATAATTGATTGTGCTGACGTTATGAGTTGTAAAGTAAATACCTGATATACGGGGTAACTGCTGTGCCACCCCTGGGAGGGGCCAGCTGGCCCTCAGGGGCCGCAACCTGTCAGTGCACACTTGCAAGAGCAAGCTGAGGAAGGACAGTAATCTCTCTCTTAAGCAACAGGTAAGAGATGACAAATTACATAGGCTTGTACCCATGAAGAACAGCTCTTGGTTCCTTGGCACATACCTGCAATCTCAGTACTGAGACTGAGGCAGGAGGACAGCTGCGTTCCATCCAGGCCAGTATGGGATATAAAAGAAGACCTTGTCTCAAAAACCCAAACAAAAAGTTCACTCTGAATAATGAGATCCAGTGTGACACAAAGTCATTCATCATAGAAAGACAAACAGTGTGGTCGCCTGACACACAGGCTTTTCAAAGGACTCTTCATAGAAGTAGGGAGTAAAACTGTAGTCACAAGCCTGGTGGTGTGGGAGATGAGACAGAGACAGGCCGGTTATAGGTGCAAAGAAGCTGGCTAGGAATTCAAGTCTGCTGTTCTGTTACACAGATGGGTGAACACGGCTAATATTATACTGCAAATTAGAGACGATCATCGGTGTTCATAGCACAAAAGGGAAAAAAATGTTAAATGAGATGTCTAACACCTACATCTCCTAAACTGATCAGCACACAAGCACAGAAGCAATAGCTTTTAGGCTGCTCCCTAAAAACATGTATTATTGGATGACAACAAAAATTTTTAAAGTTTTAAAGATGAAAGTAAATAAAGGAAGCCAGGACCAGTGCCAGTTGCCTATAACTCCAGTTACTTAGTAGGCTAAGAGGGAGGATCACCTGAGCCCAAGATTTACAGATCAGCCTGAACGTGACAAAGATCGAAAGAAAGAGAACAAGAAAGAAAGAGGGAAAGAGAGAAAGAGAGGAGAAAGAAAGAGAGAGAGAAAGAAAGAGAGAAAAAGAAAAAGAGAGAAAGAAAGAGAGAGAAAGAGAAAAAGAAAGAAAAAGAGAGAAAGAGAGAAGAAAGAAAAAGAGGGAGGGAGGGAGGGAAGAAGGGAGGGGGGGAGAGAGAGAGAGAGAGAGAGAACAGTATGTGGGCAGGGAATGTAACCTGTGCACTATATAAAATGGGTCAGGAAGAAGATTAGAAAACCACTGTCACACAGTAACTCAGGGCTGGAGGAGAGGAGAGGTCTTCAGCTGAGGAGCTGAGAGAGCTAACTGCTGTGGATAACAGCTAATGGCTGACAGGTCAAGAGCAAAGACTGCATCCTGTCAGTGCTGAGCACTGGCTCTAGAACCATGGTTCTCAGCCTTCCCACTGCTGCCAACTTCCTCCCACAGTGACCCCAGCCATAAAACCATGTCACTGTTATTTCATAACTGTAATTTGCTACTATTATAAATCTGATGTGACCCCCAAAGGGGTCGTGACCCACAAGTTGAGAACCACTGCTCTAGATGTATGAGGAAAACCTAGACAAAGACTCCCATCAGGACCACACGCTCCCAATCACTGAAAAATCCCATCAGAGTGACAGGCTCCAAGGAAGATGTCCAAGGGAACATGCTGCAGAGTTAAGGAAGGGACAGTTAAACACAGACACTGCAACCTGGCAGCACGTGGGGCAGCACCTGGGGCTCTTGTCCTAACTGGCCGTTTATGACTAGAACAGAAGAGCAACAGAAGAGCCTTAAGTTCTCTGCACTAAGCTGGTCAAGTTAGTTCCTAAAACAACCAACTCTCTTAGAACCACTTCACTCAAACCTAAGTCATCTAAGTTGCCAAGATTAGTATGCATATTAGAAAGATCTACGTTTAAAAATCAGCAACAAATCGACTACTCTTTAGATAGACGTGTCTGAAGGAAGGAAGACGCTGTGGCAGTGAACTGTCCCTGAATCCCAGGCCCAGGCAGCAACCTGAATGGGAAGAGCAGAGAAGAGCACTCAGTGGAAGAGGTCGTTTTTCCTTTTGTTTGTTATCAGAAACTCAGTCATGTTCTGCACGTGGAGTTCAAAGCCCTAACAGTTAGGAGAAACTGAAGCTATTAATGTACAAGGATTTGAGTTTTTGGAGAAAAAGAAGGAAGATGGATGCCAGAAGAAAGACCTGAAGGGACATCCTGGCTCAGCTATCCCCGCTATGGCGTATACGCAGAGGTAAGCGGGCTACATTGGCAAAATGGTGACAGTGGCTTCTAAAACTGTATCTCACTACCAAGGAGTAAATGAAGGGAATCACCATTACACGCAGTAATTCGTGGTCTAAAGGGAACTCTACCATAAATGAAAACTCAAATCCTAGCAACGTCCACATTTAGGTTAACTATATATTAAAAGCAGATGAATCAGAACCTACCGTCTGTCTGAGATTTGCTGAGGAATATTGTGCTGGCCCGAGGATGGTCTGAAGGATTGAATTCCATGTTCAAATCTTTAAAGAAAGAAAAAAAGACTAATTAAGTAACAAATTGATAATTAGGTAGAGTCATGATTATTCTTAACTTCTCAATCTTCAATTGTTAGTACATTCCATGCCTGTGGAAGCCAGTTTCTGTGTTAGTAGACTCTTTTGTTTCCACTGAGAACACAATTGTTGAAAACTCTGGAAAAGCAAAACAAAACAAAGAAAGAAAGAAACTAAAAACCACATCTGAGATGCTCCACGGGGAATCTAGCCTGAAGCTCCACTGTCTTGAAAAGTCTGCTCTACAGTGCGAGGCCACTAACACGTAAGTTCTAGACCTCTGTCAGGACACGAGCTTGTCAGACGTGAGCAAATACGGGCTGAGGTCATCTCGGGTCACTGACACAATCATGCTGAAATGTTTGACTACATGAGTCATGTGGGATGTGACATGGGCCACGCAGGTGATCCATCCAATCCAAACTTAAATGAAAGTTAGGCTTACACATAACAATCACTAGATTGCACAAGTAAAACTATGCGTGTCTGCCCATGCATACGTGGACAGACACACACAGAACCATGCACCCTTCTTTTCAGCTTCTGTGGAACACCAGGCCATCTGGGGCGCTGGGCCCTTCAGAAGTGACAGGAACTGGCAGCCCTGCTCTGTCCCCACAGGCATCTGGCTTGCAGTCCCAGCTTTTCATGGTCTCCAAGATTCAGGGCTTCTCTTTACCAGGGGCTCAACAACTTAGTGTTCCATCAAAGAACTTCCAAGTCTGAGCTAAACCATAACAAGATAACGGCCTGACTCCAGAGGGAGGAAATGGTAATCCAAACGGGAGAAATTAAATTCAGGGAGGAAGGAGAAGATGAAACTTCTGACTGGAATTCAGCTCCACTTACAGCAACAGAAAGAAACTATCCTGCCAGAGGGTGCCCAGCTTTAGCTTTACCAACCACAGGGCTACAGACAATGGTCTGGACCTCAGTCCTCTACCTACAAGCGGCCTGATGGGCCTCCGAGGCTTCGTGTGGCCCACTGTGTTAGGGGAGGGGGTGTCTCTGACATGGACTATGTTGCTGCTTTCTGATAACTTCCTCCAGGAGATTTCCCTACCGGGCCACAGGGAAGGAAAATGAACTCAATCCTCACCTGAAGAGATGAGCTGGGGGGTCTGGGTAGGGGACTCCTCTATTATCTGGAATAGGAGAGAGGGCATGCAGGAGGGAGGGTGGGACTGAGAGGAGAAGAGGGGCCTATGACTGAGATGTTAATTGAATTAATTAATTAAAAATTTTAAAAAGGAGAGAAAAACAAGATGGTCATGAAGATGATGGAGAAAACACCAAATACTATGCACACAGGTGTTCACATGTTCATAAATGAGAGGCAAGTTCTTACTCACAAACTTTTCCTAACTGTTCACCAGATCTGATTAAAGAAACCCAGTGTCCGAGAGGGCCGCAGTCTGAACGCTCAGAACCCGCCTCTACACTGAGTCGGCATGGGGGCTGACCAGGAGGAGGAGCCAGGGTGTACCAGGTTTCCCAAAAGATCCTGTGTCAAAGAACGCGGCTCCACGTGCACACACACCTTCGCATCTGCCCAGACTATACCATGCATGAGCACACCTGCACACACAGCTGTGCTCACACCTACACACACAAATAAAACCAAGTCAAAGGCAAAAAAATCCCTGGCAGACTCTGCACACACTGCTCAGTAACCTGGTCCCCAGTACTCTGAACGTGGCTGCACAGGGCTCCACGGGAAGAAGACAGAATGCCTCTAACTTGCTTCAACTTGATCTACTGCAGCCCTGATGTAAGACATCCTCTGAGGTTTCCCTTCAGGGCAGAATCCTGTTACTTTAAGGGGGGTGGGCAGCAAGCCTGTGCTGTTACTTAGTGTAACAGCGAATGACCACGACAGTTACGTTCCAGAAAGCTTCACGAAAGTCACCACAGACCGTCACCTACACCGGAGGGAAGGGTGCTGCTTACACACAGGTGCCAACACAGAAAGCTGCCTGGCCACATCAACAGCTCATGACCCAGGCTTGTGGCACTGACCGCAGACTTGTCCACAGACCAAGGCAGGGGCTGTTAGAAAACACACCAGCGACCAGCTTCCTCCCAGCGGCAGCCAGAACCACAGACTGCCAGGTCTTCACACTCAGAACCTGTTTCTACAACCCAGTGTCCTGGAGGGCAGGGATGACAGCCTGCAGGACTCGCTGCCTTACAACTACAGATAGGTCAGCTCGGGCTGAAAGGACTTCTAGAAAGAGCATGCGCACCTACACAAGGCAATGTCTACCCGCCATTAGGTCCAAGAGCAGAGGTAGCAGGGCCACCAGCAGGGAAGTGAGACACGCTGGAGAGCGTGCACAGGCACAGAAAACACCCAACACTACAATGATCTGGTTCCCTGTAAGTGATGCAAATCAGCAACCTCTGCTTTTCTGAATGAGCACACTTTATAAACATAACCTTAAAACTTCACAACAGCCTGGGGAAACAGATCTGGGCTCTGCCCCACGGAGCAGGCTGCTCTGCTCTCCAGTGCTGCTGCTGGCTCTTCTCAGGAGATACAGGGAATCCTCCATGTGGCACCGCCCTTTCCTGACTGTCAGTGAGGCTCACACGCAAGCATCAAAACTAGTCGTCACCAGCAAGGTCCACACGCAGTAGGAAGTTGAGACAATCAGCTCAGGGTCCTCCTGGGACACACTGTCATCCTTGGCAGCTGCCCCTGTGGATTGCTCTGCTTTCCCAGAGCCTCAAGGGCAGCTGGAACTCTGTTTTTGCTTCAGAAATTTTGCTCAGACTTTTCCTGTGAAAGGTGCAAACCACGTGTGATAGAAGAACAAGGCTGTCACAGGTCAACTTTCAAGACATGTCATAATTCTAGGTCTGGCCACAACAGTCACTATGTTACAGGAACCAGCTGTGCCTGGTTCAGTGAAGCAATACAAGCCACAGAGTGAAGAGGAGACGCAAGAAAGGCTGAGGAGGGTGCAAAGTGTCTGCAAAGAAGTGAGGATGAAGGAAGGATGATGAGCTTGGGCCAGAATGCTAGCTTCTTGCTGGACTTCCTGAATACAGAACTTTCTCCATGGCCTCTGCTAAGCCATACCTTAAGCCTTGACTAACCCCAGAAGGCCTAGAGCCTGTGCCCCAGAAGAAAAGTCCACAGAAATGCCCACAATTTACATTTCAAAGTGTAAATTCTGGAGGAAGTCTTCCTCTGTTTCTAAACAGAGCACACTGGACTGCAAATGAGGCAGCACTCTTCAATAAGCAGACATGTCAGAGACTTCTAAATTTTGGGAATAACTATTTCTGTTAAGCATTTATACAAGTTCATATTTTGTTGAGTCTTGCAAGCAGCTGAGTGTTCCCAATGTAAAGGTAAGTGCTCTGTTTGCAGATAGTTTCTAAGCCACAGCTCTCAAAAAACAAACAAAACCCCAAGACAAAAAAAAAAAATCCCCAACAAACAAACAAAGGCACTTCCTGTGTTGACATGTAATACCTACAGTAAGGGACAGACAGCTAACAACTCAATCTAGCCCCACACACACTTAAAGGAGATTAGTACTCACACAGCGATTACGGGGAGCCCTCAGGTCAAACCTAGGTGGCTGTGTAGGCAGGTCAGACAGAGTACACTCCTGGTCTCTACCACACAGCCATCACCAGAGGGAGCCTTTCAACCAGGGACCACAGCTGTAAGCCCAAATTAACCTCTTGTTGAGACAGCAGCTTGGCTCAGTTTTCCACAATAGAAAAAACACAGCTAATAAAGAGTGGGTGTGGGGTTAGACCAACATGCAGTTTGCAGGCACTTATTTACTAGATCAGGTGCCAGCAATTACTCTCCAGCCACAGCATGGAGGTGCCCTGGAGAAACAAAATGAAAGCACCATTGAGCGGACTGCGCATGACCTTTACCCCGTATTCTCAAAGCTGAAAGTAGACTGTCCTGGAGAACCGCTGTTTCTCCTGAGAAGCCCCAAAGGAACAGAAATAATTTATCTAATATTATGAAATACTTCAATCTGACTACACGTCTACCAACTTGGTAGCCTGGGGCAAAATGACACTGCTCTCATCTCACTTTCCTTCTCTGTAAAGTGGGCTCATCAAGCACAGCTGAGATCAAAGGGAAGGATGCTTGCTTAATGGTTAGTGCTAAGGAAATCTACAATCACCTGGAGCCTCGGCCTGTCAGGACTGTTTTGATGGGGCTAACTGAAGCTGAGGTGTGAAGTCACCTGCCCAGGACTTCCCTGCCAGGGGCCCTGGACTACGTAAGTGGTCATACGGAGCCCCTGGGAACAGGAGGCCGCAGACCACACTGCATCTTAGATGTGACTCCACAGACTCTCGGAAGGAGGTGGTGGCGGGTGGGCACAAAGCTGGCATTTCTGGGTGGACTGCAGCCCCTCAGCCCCTCACCCTTCTGTTCTGAAAAGCCTCCCTGACCCTATACCTGGAGAAGCTGAGACCAACTGCAGCTCTATCAACAAACCAGGTAGCTGGCATCTCCACAAGCTGCTTCCTAGGACAGAACAAGGCCCGTCTTGGCTCTGGCCTCAAGGTAGGTGCATAGGTGCGTGCGTGCGTGCGTGCGTGCGTGCGTGCGTGTGTGCGTGTTTCACATCGTAATGGTGATGCAGAGTTCTAGGAGAAGCAGAAGACACCAAGTTGAGGAACACTCAATGAGGCCATGTTAACAAATGGAGCAGACAGCACAGGGCCCCTCCACCCTGTAAACCAGTTCAAACAGCAACCCAGCATAAACATTCAAATAGCCCCACAAAGAAAACTATTCAGAAAACAAACAAACAACGCTGACCTCGGGATGTAAAAACATCATAATTTTTTTTTTTTAACTGGAGAAAAAGCCACCATTTTTTTACATTATGATCTCATTTAGTCACTGGGAAGTTACAGCTGAGATACACACACAAATTTCTACAGTATGAGGAAATCTAGGAACTACAACCTTTAAA